AATCTCGATATATATTCAGATGGTATAATGCATTTTTTATACAGCATTGATCTTGGTGCTTGAATTTAAAATGTTAATATTATAAACATGAATACTAAAAATAAACTAAAATCATATCTAAGTCAGACTTCAGATCTGTGTCAAATACATTCTTTGATTCGAAGAACCTCATTTTATTTTTTTAACGTTATGTCCAGTTTGTTGAGCCCAAATCTTTTTGCCTATTAATAAAAGAACTCTCCTATTTTGCTCATTGGTCTAAAAATCCTAGTTGCACTACTGTTAAGCCATCTTAGATATATTGAATATTGATTTATTAGATGAAAACAACTTTTAAACATAAAACGTTTCTATTTTTTCTTTAATAAATATATTGGTTTGTTAATAGTATTAAGATTGTTTTATTTGAGATGATAATAATAATAATGAAAGAAAAAGAAAACAATATTTTGTTTGTGAAATATCTATAAAAATTTCAATAGAATGATTTTAAAAGTTTATTTATAATGTTTTATTTGATTGTAAATTAATTTCACAATATTTCCCCGTAAAATAATTTGTACAATGACAACGATTTTGTGTTGCTAGACATGTTCCATTATTTTGACAAACATTATTTGTTTCATCGCAAAATAAACTTTTTAATTCACATTTCAGTCCACCAAAACCTTTTTCACATTGACATTGTCGTGTTATTGGATCACATGTTCCACCATGTTGACATTCATGTAAAAGACAATAAAGTTCTCCAGTTACATTAACACAACTATCAGCTAAACAAACTTGTTCAGGATATTGACATTGTTGTTCACCACATTTAACAATTTCATCACAATATCTTCCACCAAAACCCTGTTCACATCGACATATACCATCAGCACTTGTTGGTGATTCAAGACATGTTCCATTGTTCATACATGGATGTGAAGAACAAAATGATTGATTTAAATTTTCTGAACAATTTGAACCTGAATAACCATATGTACATAAACATTTAAACGATTGACTTGTACTTTCATGAACACATATACCATTATTTTCTTTAGAAAAAGAAAAAGAAAAAAACAAGATATGATTTGAATAAAATATTTCTTTTAACTAACCACATGGATTCGGTGCACATGGATGAAGTGGTATATCACAATATGGTCCTGTAATATCTTTTGGACATAAACATCGTCCATATTTATTATCAATTAAAGCACATTTGCCTCCATTATTTTGACATTTCTTTTTACATGCTGTTGGTGTTATATATTCACAAAAAGGACCTGCATAATCAGGTGGACATAAACAAAATCCATCACCTGTATGATTTAATACAATACAAGTTGAACCATTTCGGCAAGGAGAAAGTGAACAAAATGTTCGTTGACGATATTCACATAGACGACCCGTATAACCTGGCTGACAAAGACACTGTCCATCAACACCGGATAATGGTACACATGTACCTACAAAATAATTCTTTTATTATAATTAAACATATTTTTTTTCATTAAAAACAAACCATTATTTCGACATGGATTTTCTTGACAAAAAGGAACACGTTTTTCACAAAATTCTCCAACATATCCCGGTTCACAAAGACATATACCAGATGGTGCTTGAACTAAAATACATGTTCCATTATGTAAACATGGAGAATGTGTACAAAATGTTGTATTTCGTAAATCATGTTCACAAAATGGACCAGTAAATAACATTGGACAAGAACATTTATATCCATCATTTGATACTAAATTATATGGTAGAGATAGTTCTTTTTTATTGTCAATAATAAAAATAAATAATCTTACTATTATAACATGTTCCTCCATTTAAACAAGAACATTCTCCAAGATTTTCTTGACAATATTTTCCAGCATGTCTTGATGGACAAAGACACATAAAATCATTATTCGATGGAATCAATAATGAATTATCTTTAGGTGTTATTGGTGAACATAAACCTTGATTATAACATGGATTACTTTCACATGGTTTTTGAGTATAATTTAATTTTTCACATAATGAACCATGAACATACTATTTTAGATTTAATAAATGACAATAAATTTAATATAGAAAAAATTAATCTTACAGGTATACAATGACAACTAAAAGTTAATTTTGAAACAAGTTCACATATTCCAGCTCGACATGGATTTGGTTCACATGGATTTGTCCAATTTTGTAAATGAATATCTATTATATTCATATATATATATATATACATATATATATAAATTAGTTTAATACATACTTGATAAATGTAAAGTTCCAATTGTACGTCGAATACAAAGAAGAAATATTAAAACATAAGAGTGATTAATTGATAAATTTTTCCACCTAAAAATGTTTTTTTTTTCTTCTAATGTTAATTATATTAAAGAGAGATATCCTCTTACCGCATTGTTCTTCTATTGCAAATGGATTGAGATGACTATGTGATGGTCATTTATTCGATTGTTGATTTGGAGAAAGAGAAGAAAAAAACGAAAAGAAAGAGATACAAATGTCTCGACAATATTGTTTGATCACTTGCACTGTATATTGTCTGTATGTGACCTTTTTTCTTTGTTTTATAACCAACTAATTAGGATGAAAACGACTAAACAAACTATCAAACGGAAGACAATGAACATAAGCCCAGTGCTAACGAAATTTTACTTCGACATCGATCTCATCGGATAAGACAATGACTAACAACTAAAAACATTCAAAAGAACGTCAATGATCAAATATAGCCCACATTATTGAGACATTTTTTTTCATCTAGTTTATCCCTTGATCAAATGATTAACATAACTTTAAATGAGTTATTTTCAAATTTTACTATCATTACATATGCGCAATTTCTATTTCTAGTTTCATCACATTTTCTATGAATAGAATTGCATCTACTTCAATTTATAAAAATCAGTAGAGCGCAAAAGAAATGAACAGTGTAGAGATTAAAAATTGATTTCAATTATTTAACTCTCAAATTGTCAATTGTCTATCTATCACATGATATTCTTCGAACAATAATATATCCACCTATATATTGTTTAATTTCGTTTGAAGATATATGAACAATTTATACTATATAGAATCTAGACAATGTCTTATTTACATGTCTACGTTATTTTCACATACATATTGTAAGCTACAGTAATAGAAAAAAAAAGATAATGCACGAAGAGAGTAACTAATTGACATATTAATGCTGAAAAGATATTTGAACAATAGTAGATTTACAAATTCTTTTTTTAATTAATTTTAATATAAATCATGTTGTGATTAATAGATAATATTTTGTTTAAAAATCTCATTGCTTCTCTATATATTCATGTGAGATTATTATCTTTTGTATTAACATCATTATCATTTACGAAACGTATATGTGAGGAGAGAAATAAATAGAATAAAGAACAGTTCATCCTCTTTCACTACATGGAGGCTTACGAGTAAAGAATTGTAAATATCTTATATAACACAATATGATGTGATCATAATTTTTATCGTATATTTTATCAAATGTGATCAATTACAGCTGTTCTCATATTTAGTCTTGTAAATTAAAGTTTCTGTAGATTTTTTTAAGTTTAAAAATTAACGTTCGATTTATATATGAAACGTGATTGCAATGAAAGACAAGTTCAATAAAACTATTTTATCAATGCTTTTAGAAGAATTATAGAAAAGTACGTTTACAGCGAAAATGATTATCTCATTATTATTGTGATATAACATGAGATTTATGAAGGATTTAAGTCTCTACACACGTGACATTGAAGAACTAAATGCAACTAATGGATTAGTACGAAGGCAAATTTCATAATCACGATAGAATTTCTCAATTATTTAGAAATCGTAAACAATACTGTCACATATCATGTAAATCGAAGATGAAAGATTTTCTTCTATATTTTTGAATGTTAATTCTAAATCTTATTTAAGATTGATTTAATTGATTAACATATAAATGATTACATTGAGATATTTATTTCTAATAATTGTGAAAGAAGAGCTTTGATAATAATATTATTTTTATTCTATTTCATCTACAAATAAGAAAAATCTAAAATACTATGTAATAGACACGTGATTATTCATTCGAGTAATTGTTTTTTTTATATAAAACGTATAAAAAAACGTACTTAAATTGAGAAAAACAAGATGATATCTTATTTCATCGATTTATTATATTTTAATAGAACTTCGTCGAAATATTAATTATTCTTAGTTCTTTTTTTGTCTAAATCAATAAAATCAATATTTCTATTGTTGGAACTTCCTGTAAAGTCATTAATAAATAATTATTTTAGTAAATGAAGATGGAAAAATAATAGTTATTATTTTTATATAGACTGTGAGAAAAAAAATAGTATTTTTTTGTTGTAAATAAAAGTAGTAAGCAATGCTCTTTTGTATTTTTCTCAGTGATCCGTTTTATATCCTTCATTTGTTCTCAATTAAAGAAAAGAAGAAAAAAAAAACGAGTAATTGTGAATGATTTTTCGTTTGTGGTTATTTGAATAGAGAAATGTGATTAACATTTGTTCTAGATATAAATGTAAAAACAACGATCGATTTATTCGAGGGCACGAAAACCTATTCTATGCTTATACATCTGGTGCAATTCTGTGAATTTTTTTCAATAAAAAAAAATCAATATTTGATCAAACATTGATATAGATAATAAAGACTAAAGTACATAACATATCGATAAAAAAAAGAATCAGTATGAAGTGAGAAAAAAAAATAGTATTCGTTAAAAATTGACTTTTATACATGAAGAAAAAAAAGAAAAAGAAGAATATCCATCGTTCTACCCATGCTTAAGAAAGACAAGAAGAAAAAAATCGCGGCAGATGGTTATATACAGGTAAAATATTGATTGCAATACGCATATAGATAATAACATATTTCGTTTTCATTTCTTTCGATTGACAGCTATGCTTCACCGACTTTAATTCTACTTGTAATGCAATATCAATAGCTAACATCTAATCACATATTATAAGTTAAAAATTATGGTATGAGATTTGTCATCATCATTTCTTTTTATTCAATATTTATTTCTTAATTTTAGTTTCGTGATAAAAAACCAACAGCACGAAATAATTTAGAAGCACTGAAAAATGAAATTGAAATAGTTTGTTGAAATAATAATAAACAATTTGTTTTTTTTTATCTATTTTTTATTTTCAAGGACGAACATAAAATTCCGATAAGTGAAGTTTATCGAAGATATGGAACAAGTCCTGCTATGGTATTAAATTTAATTTTTCAAGGTTTTTTTTTTAATTTATTTTGTAATGTTAAGGGTCTTAGTGAAGAACGAGCAAAAGTAATACTTGAACGTGATGGTCCAAATGATTTAACACCAGTACGAACAACACCAGAAATTGTTCGTTTAGCAAAAAATATGTTTGGTGGTTTTGCAATGCTTTTATGGGTTGGTGCTTTTTTATGTTTTGTTGCACATTTTCTTGAATTATATACATTAGAAGATCCACAATATGATAATGTATGTAGAATTTATGTCTGAGATTTTCATTTTGATAGAAATATATTTAATAGATGTATTTAGGAATAGCATTAGCTAGTGTTATTATTATAACAGGATTTTTTTCTTATCATCAGCAAGCTAAAAGTTCAAAAATAATGGAATCATTTAAATATTTAGTTCCACAAGCAGGTAGAATTTATTTTAATTAAATTAATTTAAATAAAAAAACATTTTATTTTTATTTTATTTAGCTTGTGTTGTTCGACATGGAAAATCAAGAAATATTCTTCCAGAACATCTTGTTATTGGAGGTCTTGATTTAATTTTATTAATATTCTTAAATTTGTTTTCTTCTTCTTTTAATAATTAGATATTATTGAAATACGTCGTGGTGATCGTATACCTGCTGATATTCGAATAATTCGTGCAAATGGTCTTAAAGTTGATAATTCATCATTAACAGGTGAATCAGAACCACAATCACGTGGAATTGAATATACAAATGAAGATCCATTAGAAACAAGAAATTTAGCTTTTTTTGGAACATTTGCTGTTGAAGGTTTTTGTTTTCTTTCTTTCTATTTTATTTTATTTTATAATTAAATTTTAGGTTCATGTATTGGAATTATTATTCGTACAGGTGATAAAACATTTATTGGACGCATTGCAAATTTAACTGCTGGTTTGTGTTTTTTTCTTTTTAAATTAAAATAATTGAAATGAAATTTTTTATTAGGAGTTGAATCTGGTAAAACTCCAATAGCAACTGAAATAAATCATTTTATTCGTATAATAACAATAATTGCTGTTGTTGTTGGTGTTATTTTTTGTATTTGTTCCCTTTCTCTTGGTTATACATATGTTGAAGCCGTTGTTTTTCTTATTAGTATTATTGTTGCTCAAGTACCTGAAGGTTCGATTTTCATTTTTTGTCATTTAGAAAATAATATAAAATAATATATTTTAGGTCTTTTGGCAACAGTCACTGTAAGTATATTTAATTAGTTAAGAGAAAAAAATTGTTTTCTAATTATAAATGAAAAGGTTTGTTTAACATTAACTGCTCAACGAATGGCACGAAAGAATTGTTTTGTAAAAAATTTGGAAGCAATTGAAACACTTGGTTCAACAACAGTGATTTGTTCAGATAAAACAGGAACATTAACACAAAATCAAATGACTGTTGCACATATGTGGTTGGATAATCATATTATTGATGCAGATATTGATGCGTTTCAATCAAGTATATTTTTTAAAAACGAAAATCATAGATTTAGTTTTTTTTATTGATTTTATTTAGAATCCAATTATACAAGATTTTCTCATTGTTGGACAGCATTAACACGATGTGCTATGTTATGTAATACAGCTATATTTAAAAATGATCCAATCAATATTTCAAAACCAGTTGTTCAACGACAATGTGAAGGAGATGCAAGTGAAACAGCTATTCTCAAATGTATGGAAGCTGCTGTATGTTATTAATTCTTTTCTTTTCTTTTCTTTTTTTAAAAACAAACAAATATTTAGGTTGGTAGCGTGCAACATTATCGTTTAACTAATCCAAAAATCTGTGAAGTTCAATTTTCCTCATCAAATCGTTATCAATTTTCAATTCATTCAACAAGTGATAATGATGATCGATATTTACTTGTTATGAAAGGTGCACCAGAAAAAATTCTTAAAAATTGTTCAACTATATTTGTTGATGGTGTTGAAATTGGATTTAATGAATATTGGAAAAGAGAATATCAAAAAGCATTTAAAGAATTAAGTAATCTTGGTGAACGTGTTCTTGCTTTTGCTGATTATCGTTTACCAAAAGAACAATATCCACGAGAATATTCATTTGATTGTGATACAATTAATTTTCATGTTAATCCATATTATGAAAATTTTAATTTTCCAACAACTGGTCTAAGATTTTTAGGATTAATTTCATTAATTGATCCACCACGTGTTAATGTTGCACAAGCTGTTAATAAATGTCGTACAGCTGGTATTCGTATAATAATGGTAACAGGTGATCATCCATTAACAGCTGCTGCTATTGCACGTGCAACTGGAATTATAACAGATAATAGTCCAACTGAAAAACTTATGGATAATGTTAATGATAAAAATGCTCGATCATGTGTTTTACATGGAAATGCATTAAAATCATTAAGTAAACAACAATTAGATGATGTGATTAAATATCATGAAGAAATTGTTTTTGCACGTACAAGTCCACAACAAAAATTAATTATTGTTGAAAGTTGTCAAAGATTAGGTGAAATTGTTGCTGTTACTGGTGATGGTGTTAATGATTCACCTGCATTAAAAAAAGCTGATATTGGTATTGCTATGGGTATTACAGGATCAGATGTTAGTAAACAAGCATCGGATATGATTTTACTTGATGATAATTTTGCATCAATTATAACTGGAATTGAAGAAGGAAGAATTATTTTTGATAATTTAAAAAAATCCATTTGTTATACATTATCATCAAAAATTCCGGAATTAGCACCATTTTTATTTTATATGATTTTTGAAATTCCATTACCACTTGGTTAATATTTATATTAATAATAATTTTGAGAAAACAAAATTTTCTTCTTTTCTTTTTTTAGGAACAATTGCTATTTTATGTATTGATTTGGGTACAGATATGCTTCCAGCTATATCTTTAGCATATGAAAGAGCTGAATCAGATATCATGCTACGACCACCAAGAGATGCAAAAAAAGAACATCTTGCAACTGATCGGTAGATTCTTTTTTCGTTTTATGATTATAATATTATTTTATGTAAATAGATTAATGTGGATGAGTTATGGTCAATTAGGAATGATTCAAGCTGGTGGAGGATTTTTTGTTTATACAATTGTTATGGCTGAAAATGGTTTTTTACCATCGAGATTATTAGGTTTAAGAAAATCATGGGATTCAAGAGCAGTTAATGATCTGGAAGATTCTTATGGACAAGAATGGGTTTGTTTAGTTTGAATTTTTTTTCAATAATTCTATTATATATTTCTTCTAGTCTTATGAACAACGAAAAGCATTAGAAGATACATGTCATACAGCTTTCTTTGTAACTGTTGTTATTGTTCAATGGACTGTTCTATTATGTTGTAAATCTCGACGAAATTCTCTTTTTCAACAAGGAATGTCGTATGTTATTTCATCTTCTTTATTTTTAAAGCTATATAATTGATTTTCTCATAGAAATCAAGTTTTAAATATGAGTATTATCTTTGAAACTGTACTTGCTATAATTATATCTTATACACCATATATAAATCGTGGTCTAATGATGTATCCATTGAAGTAAGTTGATTTTGAAGAATTTTCTATTTGAGATCAATTGGAATATTTCTAGATTACATTGGTGGTTTTTACCATTACCATTTACGTTACTTGTTTTTGTCTATGATGAATGGCGAAAATTTATGGCTAGAAAATTTCCTGGATCATTTATTGATCGAGAAACTTCTTATTGATAAATATTTTTTGATTTTTTAAAGTGTTTTATTTAGAATGTCTTTTTAGTTTAATAAATTATAATTAGAAATTTAGACAAAATCTATATATAATATTTTTCGATGGCTGACTTTTTTGTATTGAAATATTCACAAAATAGTACTTTCATTGATGAGAGTTTAGTTATATCGTTCCAGTCGTATAGTATATCTGTCAGTTCAAACAAACCGTTACTAAATAAATAAAAGTATTCTCATCTCACTTTTAGTATCGTACAAAACCCAAGCAATTATTATAAAAGAATAGAATATATTTCTTTGGTTTTATCATAGTAATTTAATGTTTTATTTAATTTAAAATTTTCCTGGATAATCTAGATCAAGCGCATATGAATATAAACGTATAGTTTCACAGCATAGATGTGCCATGGAAAGGCTGAAAGGAAAAACGTAAGAGAAGAAAAATGTCAAAAACAGAAAATATTGACTCTGACCCTCTATAGTCTGTTGTTGACTTTCTCATTTTTCTATTAGTTTGAAATTATAACCAGTATTAATGATGATGATGAGTTATAATAGATAGAAAACAATTGAAATAATCATAAAACTAATATTAAGAACTGAAAATTTATTCTAATGACTACAGTTCAGTTCGTTCATCTTCGTTAGATATTTTATTTATTCAATCACAAAAATGAAAACTTTTACTTGTACCGAATAAGTACTTTTTATTCAATTAATTTCTGATTCGTGTATAATCTATTTTACAATACAATCATTATGTTAAAAATAAAGAATGTCGTGTTAGTTGAAATTTTCGATATATTTCTTTTCAACATTTTTCCTTTCGCTCTTTCTACGACCAATCATAACACATGTACCCAACGTTTTCAACTTCTAGGGAACTAAATACTTTGGAATATTGTATAGTAACACCAAGCGTATTCAGTGCTGTTAACGATAGTATATCAGAACAGTTACAAATAATCAGGATATGACATTTACTAATGTCCTGATTGGTTGAAAGTGGTTACTTCGTCCTTGGATATTATGATATCTCGTTATCTATCTTTAACTAAAGAATTCATTTATTAGAAGTAGTTTTTTAATAATCTTTGTCCAATTACTTATTATCTACAGAAAAAAACATAATATTTTGTTTTATATAAAATATATATGTACGCATTTTGTCTATTTCATCGTAGCAAAATCATATTTTTAATTGCATTCCGTAACTTGTGAGTGACACCATATGTCAATTTTAACTCAAGGTTAAATCAGTGTTACTAATGTAATTCATAGCACAGTATTTTTTTATTACTTTCTCAACAATCACCTTCAAAATTTGTATTTAATGCTGTGCGAAAGACGGTATTCATACAGTCTGACACAAACTTTTTTTTTCTTTCTTCATTTCTCGACATACACATTGTAAGTTTGTATTTGCATTGTGATTAGAATACGACAGATGTAAAAATAAAAATTTCAAAAATTAAACCATTGAAATTTATTCTTCAATTTTTGAAAGGATGTATCGTTTGGTTGGACGTTATTTTTCTTCAATAACTGAATGAGTATCAGGAGGCTAATTAAATGACTAGTTATTCCGAAATATATCGACAAACATTATTAGAAGTTTCATAAAAAAACCATCTTATTTTCTCTCAAGTTTAATTATTTAATTCCGAGATAAATATCATCGAAATGTTTTTTTCTAGTGTAAAGTTTAAATAAATTTTTATTCAAATTTTCAGCATTTTGTATAAACTTGTTTATGACCTATCCACTTCAGTATAAGCATATATTATGTAGTTCACTTATAGTTCATTCGGTCACTATTATATAAGCATGAGATTGAATGAGAATTGTATAATAAAACAATCAGAAAGGTAGACATAGTATTTATATCGGTCAAAGAAAACTTACTACTTATTTGATAATTGTCTTTTACTTAACCTGATGATGACATGGCTTCATATTGAAATTTAGTACTATGAAGAATAACATTATTTTTCTATATTATTCTTCATTTTTTTTTGTTTATTCGGTACATCAATAAGAAACAATGGTAATGTCGAACAAGTTGACATTTTTTGTACCTTATCATACGGGTTATGCTCATGTGGAATTAATTCTTTCGTTTGCTTCATTTGCTGATGTTCATCTTTTTATTTATAAATGGAATCCATCTCAACAACTTGTAAGAAATTTTTTCTCGAATTCAAAACAAGTTCATGTACATGAATTCAGTATTGATTCAATTCTTACAGAACTTATTAAACAACAACAACAGCAATGCCGAGTAGTAATTCTTCTTACTGCTTCTATCAATTATTCTCTTGGACAATTACAATATCGTTACTTTTCTAGTATACAAAAATATGTACCCACAATTATTGATGTTTATTCAACAGGTCATTGTATGTATGGATGTCAAAGTTGTGCTCATGAAAATTCACATCGATTACCAATTACATTTACGAATTATATGCGAACGAAACATTTAAAATCAATTGAAATAAATAAAAATAATGAGATTATTGTTTGTCCAAGTTTTTCATCAGTAGAAGCTCCATTTAGTCTTTTATCGAATAAAGAAATTGTCGAGCAAATTATGGCATTCTCATTTCCACATCTCATCAAATTACATCCTCTAATGTATCCATCGACAAATGATGAAAATCCTCTGTTTCCATTTAGTGATCTAGAACAAAAACATGCATATCAATTGTGTAATTCAAAAAATATTCTACCAGACACACAAACAAATACATTAAAATTAATTGAACATGCTCGTGTACTCATTTGTGATTCAGATTCATCAATTCCATTCGAAGCATTATATTTCAATGATAAAAAACATATATTAGTTTACGAAACAATTGAACAACAAAGCAAAGATGATGATCGACGAAAATATTTTCATACTTTTTACAATGTACAACAATTAGATACTTTACTTGAACGTTATTTTGCCGGTGAACTTGAATGTAAAACAGAAAAGAGTCATGAATTCTTCTTGGAAAAATATGAAGAACCTGATGGAAAAGAAATAGAACGATTAGCTAATATACGTCAATGGATGATCAATGAAAATCATCATCAAAATATTGATATAGAAAAAATCAAACAAGAATTAAAAGATCAATTTTCGTCATCAACTCAAATAGGTGCCTACGTATCAGGTGAATATACAACAGCAGAAATACAAAAAATTTTTTACGCTGAAATGTATGATACATTTGGTGCTTTATTAGATAACTTAGACGAATTTTAGTTTATACTGATATGTTAAAAAGTATGAAAATCACTTATTCTTCTATGTTTTATTATTTTATTGTACAAGATTTATATTAGAAATTAAAACTATTAAATAAAAAATTTCTTAGTAAAAATAATTGTGACACTTCACAATATTTTTTTTTCCAAAGCTTTTATGTAAATAGAAACTACTATTATCATTTTGTAAACAATATCGAATTCATCTGGTAAATTTATTTTTCATTCAACGAAATTATTTATGACTCATTATTAGTTTTCGTACTTTGAAATCGTCTTAAAATGAAAATACTCTGGCAATATAAACCCATCCTTGATGTCAATTTCTTCAAATTTGATCTCTTTTGATGACAAAAAAATAAAATGTGCAATGAAAATATTACTGATTCTTTTAACAATACTAGTTATTGAAAAAGTTCAGTCCATTTTTATAGTAAGAATAATACTAATGATTTCTGAAAGACAGAATTTGTTCATGAAGAAATACTTACACATTCGGATGCACATAGCTACTTTCGAATATTATAGTCCATTCAATATGAAAATCATTTATTTGCCTATCGTTGATTTAACTTTACTTCTTTCGCAAATAGTTTTTACTCTTTCCATACTAGCGTAAATTTGAGTAGATCCAGGGGTTCAGTGTTTATTGTAGAACAATAAGAGGAATATGAAGAAGAGGTGGCGGAGAACGGGAGGAATACGACGCATACGTATGTGTGCATATAAATATATATAAGATTTTGATAAGGAATAATCCCATACATATATGAGAGGAAAGAAAAGAACCATATCTATATGTGATAGAAGAATGCAAGGAATGTTTCAATATTATCAGACGGAGTATACCAAAATCTATACCTCTACACATATTGGATAATATTTACAGCTAGCATGTTTTTGTTGTGATTCGTGAATTATATTTCATTGTACACAGTCGTCACTAACTTATAGATAAACATTTCTGACATATACAAAAAGGTATATAAACTAAGAAAAAACTTAGTTATAGACACACATTCAAGTTTCTTATTATCATGCTTCGAATTAAAAATGATTTACAAACAAATCTTTCTCAAGAGAAATATGTTTCATTAAAACAAATAAATATCGAAGGAAAAATTCATTCATTTGCAGCTGATGTAACAATCAAACAAATATTTCGTAATGATGAATCAACACCCATTGAAGCTGTTTATTGTTTTCCTATTGAAGAACAAGCAGCGATATATAGTTTTATTGCTCAGATTGATGATCGACAAATTGAAGCGAAATTAAAAGAAAAAAAAGAAGCACAAAAACAATATAATAATGCACTTCAACAAGGTCATGGAGCTTATTTACTTGAACAAAATGAAAATAGTCAAGATAATTTTATAATAAATATTGGTGCACTTCCACCAGGTAAAGAATGTCATATAACAATCTCTTATGTTACAGAATTAGAACTTATTGAAAATGGTAAAAAGATTCGTTTTGTTATTCCAACAACAATTGCTCCTCGTTATAATCCAACGAAAGGTGGAATTACATCACCGGCTGGAACAAATTCTAAATATGTTCAATCAAGTCCATATACAATTCAATTTCAATGTGAAATTGAAAAAACAAATATTTCAAGTGTTAGTTCATCATCACATCCAATTCAAGTTGATTTGAGTCAACAAGATTATTACATGATTAAATTTAGTCAAGATAAAACATATTTAGATCGGGATATTCTTGTTGATATTGATTTAATTGAGAATCATTCGAATACAATTTTAGCAATAGAATCAAATGCATTAATGGTTTCATTTACACCAAATGAAAAAGATTGTCAACAAGCACTGAATAATAATAATAATATTGAAATAACAAATGAATTTGTATTTATTGTTGATTGTAGTGGATCAATGATAGATGAAAATAAAATTGGTTTTGCTCGTCAATCAATGTTACTTTTTCTTAAAAGCCTCCCGTTAAATTCTTATTTTAATATTATTCAATTTGGTTCAAATTATAAATTATTATTTAATGATGCAACAGTTATTTATAATGAAGAAAACTGTAAACAAGCTGAACAAATGATAAATAAGATGGAAGCTAATCTTGGTGGAACTGAATTAGTAAGTTTAGTTTTAATAATAATAATAATAATAAAATTTGATTTTTCTCTTGTTTAAAGTTAGAACCACTAAAATGGCTTGAAGCACATGAACCGAAAGAAGATCGATCTCGACAAATCTTTCTTCTAACTGATGGTGAAATCTCAAATGTTAATGAAGTTCTTAACTTATGTCGTTCAATGTCGAAATCATGTCGAATATTTTCATTTGGTTTAGGAAAATCTCCGAGTCGATCATTAGTTAAAGGTTTAGCACGTTCAACAAATGGTCATTTTTGTTTTATTCCACCATCAACCAATGTTGATATTTATGTTGGACAAGAATTAGAAAAAGCTCTTCAACCATCAATTACAAATATTGAAATAAAATGGAATTTATCAACACAAATTATAACTGCACCAACAAATATTCCACCTGTTTATCTTAATGATCGTTTAATTATCTATGGATTAATAAATGATGAATCATTTGTATTTAATCATAATACAACTATTGAATTATATAAGAATAATAAGAAATTAAGTCAAGCTAAAATAACTCAAATACCGCATATTATTAATAATAATAAAACAATTCAACGTTTAGCTGGTAAAGCACTTATTCTTGAATTACAACATTCGAAATTACCATCATTATCATCAATTAGAAAAGGATCACAACAAACAAGATTTGAAGAATATAATGAAAAGATAATAAAATCAAGTGATGATGATAAAGAAGAAATAAAAAAACGTATTATTGAATTATCATTAAAATATAATATTCTTAGTCCATATACTTCATTTATTGGAATTGAAAAACGTGTTAATGGAAATAATGATGAAATGATATTGAGAGAAATTCCAATTCAAATATCAGCTGATGATCAACATTTACAAACACCAGGTTTTACACAAACGGGATCTGCACAATCAATAAACTTCGGGCAAAATACTAACAATTCAAATTCTAACTCAACTGTTCCATGTGCGGCATTTTCT